GTCTCAGAGCGGCTTACAATCTCCTCTCCCTTCCCCTCCCCACAACAGACAACCTGTGAGGTAGGTGAGGCTGAGAGAGCTCTTTCGATGACTGCCCTTGAGAGAACAGCTCTGAAAGAACTTGTGACTGACCCAAGGTCACACCAGCAGCTGCATGTGGAGGAGTGGGGAATCAAACCCAGCTCTCAGATAAGAGTCCACGCCCTTAACCACTACACAAAACTAGAAGCTTGCTGCAATGACTGTAGGCCTGTCATAAACTTGTCAGCTTGCCCCTCCTCACAGGGTTGTTGTGAGAGAACTGAGGAGGGGAGAACGATGTTCTAAAAGTGGCCTTCAGTCCCAGATGGAGAGAATAGCAGGGTATGAATAAATAAATGCCTGTCTTGCCAACAGCCACCTAATGGGTTCATTCCTGAGGTAAGAATTGAACCCGCCACCTCCCTGATCGCAGTTTACTGTCCCAGTTCTGTATCTCAAAACACACCACCCCTTGAAGACTTTCCCCTTCGAAAAGAGCCAGCTGGGCAGCTGAACCTCTTGCGCTCCTGCTCTTGGCGCTGAAAGTCCCCCGCCGGTGGGGTTTTGTTGAACCAGAAGAACCTGAGAAAAACCTAAGAAGAGTCCTGCTGGATCAGACCAGCGTTCCCTCTAGTCCAGCACCCTGTCTCACACAGAGGCCAACCGGTTCCTCTGGACAGCCAACAACAGGTCATAAAAGCCGAGGCCTTCCCCTGATGTTGCCTCCTGGCTCTGGGATTCAGAGGATTAGTGCCTCTGAATGTGGAGGTTCCTCTCAGTCACCATAGCTAGGAGACATCAATAGACTTATCCTCCATAAATCTTATCTAATTTCAAGCCAATAAGTCACAGCTGACTTACGGTAATTCCTTGTGAGGTTTTCAAGGCAAGAGACGTTCTGAGGTAATTTGCCGATTCCTGCCTGTGCGTCGCAACCCCGGACTTCCCTGCTTAGCTTCCGAGGTTTGACGAGATCCGGCTCGCCTGGGCGATCCAGGTCAGGAGCCACAGAGACAGAAATTACGGAACTGTCAGTATTTTTATTTTTACGTGCTGCTGTTTTGCCCCGCGGAGTCCAAACGCCTTAACCTAGTCTCACCTTGATGAAGCCAAACTGGTGCGTGTGCCAGGTGTCCTCGGACAGGGGGTAGGTGTCATAGAGGATTCCTGGGGGCAGGGAAGAAATGACAGGCTTTAGCGTTTGCCGATGGAAGGCCGAATGCCCCGAAGGCTGCTGACCTAACCTGGCAATGATTAGCAGACTTTGGTTGTGCAGAAGGCCTGAATCTCAAAGAGGTCTTTGAATCCCTTCTGTGCATCGGCTAAGCAAGAGAAGAAGAAGAAGAGATTGGATTTATACCCCACCCTTCACTTAGAGTCTCAGAGCGGCTTACAAACTCCTTTCCCTTCCCCTCACCGCCCCACAACAGACACCCTGTGAGGTAGGTGGGGCTGAGAGACCTCTTTCAAGAACTGCCCTTTCAAGGACAGTTCCTATCAGAACTATGGCTTGCCCAAGGTCATCCAGCAGCTTCAAGTGGAGGAGTGGGGAATCAAACACGGTTCTTCCAGATTAGCCACTACACCAAACTGGCTTTCCACCAAACTGGCTAAGCAAGAGATGTTGATTAGTTACACGATACACCATCCCAAAGTCTGGTCTGGAATGAGGATCATCTGACAGATGTGCCCTGACAAGTTCTGGAGTGTGGGGACAATTTGGACTGGGACTGCGGTGCACGGGGAGAGCGCCTTATGCCCACCCCGCCCCCTGACCTGAAACGGCTCCAGAGGAGCACCATTTGCCCTTCGTGTACCCCCATCAGTACCTGTGGAACCTTCGGCACAGCAAATAGCAGCCAGATCAGGTTGCGATAACAGTGTGGGGTGTGGGTGTGTGAGAGGGAGAGCTGAAGCCCTTTCTCCTTGTGTACCACAATCCTGATCCAAATCGGGCCTCAAGCAAATGGTAATTGCACTCAAATTGTGCAGACCCGGAGTCAGATGAATCATGTAGCTAGGCCCTCTGTCACCTGGGGCCAAGAGGTCACAAATTTGGGAAGACTCACTTGGACCATCGGGGAAGAATAATAGTTTGTGGGACTGGTGGGTGTACAGTGGGGATGCCTTAATTGACAACTCATTAATCATCCAGACAAAATCTGTTCCATGGTATAAAGCCATAAACAAAGACCATTTAAGAGCCTCATATTTGGTAGACATTACTGCACATAATCTTAGAACATCGTTTACAGCATGAATGCTTTTCAGGCTATGCCAACGGAACTACTCACTGGACGATATTTAAAAATTCCGCAGGAACAATGCGTCTGTGTTTGCGGAAGGATCTTTTTCATTTATATGGTCTGCCCACTGTACTCAGAACTCAGAAGTAAATTCTTGACTAGGATAACAGATCGACTATACAATTTTTCTGACACAGATAAATTAATATTTTTGCTGCCAGATGTGGACTCCTTTGCTTCTAACAAGGTGGCGCTTTTTGCAGTAGCAGCTAGGAAAGTCAGAGCAGAGGTGGCTCTCTTGAAAGCAGCTAAATGAAATGTAATTGTCTCGACATGTCATTTGTATTTCCTGAACCCGCCAGTGAATCTTTGGAGATGGATGTTCGTATTTTAAAAATTCAAGGTAATTAGCATTTCTGTGTGTGAAACCGAATATTCAAAGATGGACGTTGTGTTTTAAAATTTTAGCATGCTTTAACTTTTAACGGCCAATGGCCACACACAATAAACTTGACTATTATTTCACTTGGATGTTTTAAGGTGGGGTTTCCCCGAGAGGGTTATTAAGAAACAGAACGCAGTGAGGAGGGTGCTACCCTGCGGAGCCGACTCCCACAGAAATGAACTTCGGATCACGGCCTGAATCTCTCATGCTGCAGTTGAGTCAGGTGGGTCCCTAAAAAGCCTACTGTGGGAACCTCGGGTTCCACCCCCCCCCCCCGCCCGGCCCAGCAGCTTGAGTCATGAGATGACACCCTTTTTCTGGTCAGACTCCCTGTAGATAGGGCTACACCTCAGAAGCCACTAGCTGGCTTATTTCCCATAGCACCTGGTTTCCTTCAGTCCCTGATCCACCCCATTGGCTGAAAGTCCTTTGGTGCCATCTCCTGCTTTGCCTTATGAGTCCCTCCCCAGGAGAACGGCTTGTAGCTAGCCGAGAAACCCTAAGGGGGGGGGGTGGCCCAAAAGTTCCATGCTGCAATCTGGTCCTCTTCCATTAACTGCAATTTAACCCCCTGGCAGAACGTCTGTAGTTGCACTGGAGTGGGCTGAAAAATGGCCAGGCACATGTGTCGAACTCTTCCAGCGTAGGGTCTCCTGGTTGCTCTCCCAACTGCGTTGCCAAGAACATGTTTACCCAATAAAAGTAAACTACTCAGGGGAGGAAACCACTCTGGGAGAAGGGGCTATATGTCTCCCCCTGCCCGGGTGACTCTAGTTTCTCGGGGTTTGGGTTCTGCCCTGCCGTCAACACTGCTGACCACAGCCTGTCTTCTCTAGAACTGCGGAGTAATGTATGCCGTGCAGCAAGACCTGCTTTGTGAGAAAACGCTGTTGGGCTGGCCTTGCAATTGCATTTCAGGTGAAGGGAAAAAATGGCCACGAATCAGATCTGGAGAAAAAGATGGGGAGACACCACAGAAAACGCTGAAATGTAGGTCCGCTGCAGAACACAGGTTTGAAGAAAAAATCAAATGCATAATTATAGGATGGGGGAGACCTGTCTTGGCAGTAGTAAGTGTGAAAAGGATCTAGGGGTCTTCATAGAACATGAACATGAACCAGCAGTGTGATGCTGTAGCTAAGAAAGGCAACTGTGATTTTGGGCTGTTATCAACAGAAGTATAGTATCCAGATCACATGAAGTGATGGTATCGCTCTACTCTGCTCTGCTCAGACCGCACCTAAAGTATTGTGTTCAGTTTTAGGCAACACAGTTTAAGAAGGATACAGAGAAGCTGGAACATGTCCAGAGGAGGGCGACGAAGATGGCGAGGGGTCTGGAAACCAAGTCCTATCAGGAAAAGCTGAAGGAGCTAGCTATGTTTAGCCAGGAGAGGAGACGACTAAGAGGTGATATGATACCCATCTTCAAGTACTTGAAGGGCTGTCATACAGAGAATGCGATGGAGTCTTCTGTTGTCCCAGAGGTTGGATCAGAACCAATAGGTTGAAATTAAATCAGAAGAATTTTCAGCTAAACATTAGGAAGAACTTCCTGACAGACAGAACGGTTCCTCAGTGGAACAGGCTTCCTCGGGAGGTGGTGGGCTCTCCTTCTTGGGAGGTTTTCAAACAGAGGCTAGATGGCCATCTGACAGCAGTGCTGATTCTGTGAACTTAGGCAGATCACGAGAGGGAGGGCAAGAAGGGTTGCCTCAGTGTTTAGGTCTTGTGGCCCTTTCTGACACGCCCAGGGAAATGCCGATTGCTGCTTTGGGATGACTCAGGAAGTAATTTTCCTCAGGTCACTTTGGCCAGGGATCCTGGAGGTTCCCCCCCCCCCCATCTTCTGGGCATCGAGGTTCCCCCCTCCCCACATCTTCTGGGCATGGAGCAGGGGTTACTGGGGATGTGGGGGGAGGTAGTTGTGAATTTCCTGCCTCGTGCAGGCGGTTGGACTAGATGACCCTGGAGGTACCTCCCAACGCTATGATTTTATGATTCCTCATAGAGCAGAAATCTCTCTTACCGTCAAAATGTTCACTGGGCAGTGTTGGGACGACATCTTCCCACAGCCCCTTCAGGGGGATAACCTTAGGAAAGAAACCAACCAATGAGCATCCAAAGGGAGGTAACTCACCTGCTGGACTTCAGCACTGTGTTTGGTTTTCTCCTACCTCCTGCTCCCCCCAAAAAAATGGTTGTTATTCAGCTCGATCCTAACATCACAAACCAAGAGGAAGCTTACTAATTTTGAGCCTGCTACAATTTGGTGATATTTGGGTCGGTTGGGGGGGGTTTTCCCTGATCAACCACCGTGGCTCCGTGCAACCTGTGCCAGATCTTTTACCTGACCTTGCTCAGATTCAGGTGGGGTACCCGTGTTGGTCTGAGGCAGCAGAACAAAGTTTGAGTCCAGTGGCCCCCTTAAGACTCAACAACATTTTATTCAGGCCTTTTTTTGTGGAAAAAGCCCAGCAGGAACTCATTAGCATAATAGGCCACACCCAACAGCAGGAACTCATTAGCATATTAGGCCACACCCCTGACAGCACAGCTCATTGGCACTATAGGCCACACCCCCATGTTACCAGGAGTGTGGTCACCCAGCTACACCCACCTTTTGCTTCTTATACTGTTTACCTTGTTTGTTGTCCAAACGGTCTTACAGGGCTCTTTTTGTAGCAGGGACTCCTTTGCATGTTAGGCCACACACCCCTAATGCAATGTTCCCTCTAAGCTGTGGAGCCCTGTGAGCAAAAATTCTACTTTGTGAGCTACTGGCATTAAAGTTGTGAGCAGGTGATTTGGCTACTGCATACATTAGTTTGCACTGGAGCCATCCTTCCTGAGCTGAGACAAAAATGTGTGAGCCGGAGGCTAAAAAACTGTGAGCTAGCTCACACTAACTCAGCTTAGAGGGAACACTGCCCTAATGTAGCCAATCCTAATGCGTTTCTGCTGTTGGGTGTGGCCTATTATGCTAATGCGTTCCTGCTGGGCATGGCCAACTCGGGAGCCAGCCGGAACTCCGTTCCTGTGCGTTCCTGCCCCCAAAAGAGCCTTGGTTTATTCTGGGTATATACCCAAAATAAAACGTTGTTGATCTTAAGGGGGCCGCTGGACTCAGACTTTGTTCTCTCACCCTGCTCAGTTGCTGTTTAACTTGCTTTGGTTGTTCAAAGGGGCTGCGAGCGAGCAAAACTGTGAGCTCAGCACCTGGGATCAAAGGCTCCCAGGACACAAACCGCAAGCCTGCGCTTGCCAGCTTTAAACAGGTTTAACTATCGGGCTGAGGGAGTTAGAGATAAGGGAAATACGGAAGGGCCTTGGGAAATTGAGCTGCGGCACAGAAAAAGGCCCCTATTCATAAGGGCACCCTCATACACTTCTCTCATCATGAACGCCCTGTGTGGTCTGAAGAGGCACGCAAAAGGCAGGGCTACTTTTGGGGCAGGAACGCACAGGGACGGAGTTCCGGCTGGCTTCAGAGTTGGCCACGCCCACTACAGCCAAATCCTCTGCGCGTGCGTGGCTACAGAGGGAAGGCCTGGAGACCGACGCCCCCCCGGCCACTCTGAGGCGGGCGGCCCAGGGGGGGCCCTGGAAGGATCGGGGAGGCATTGAAATTAAACTGCCTCCCCTCCCCTCCAAGGGCTGGCTTGCCCGGGTGCCCTGCAGCCGTGGGGTGCCCAGGCAAGCCAAGGGAAGGCATGGGGTTGTGGCCTAATATGCTAATATGTTTCTGCTGTTGGGTGTGGCCTATTATGCTAATGAGTTCCTGCTGGGCTGTTTCTACAAAAAAAAGCCCTGGCAAAAGGTACCAGACGCGATCTCTGGCAACTCAAGTGATAAACTGGGCCTTGACGGCAACTGCCAGCCAGATCAGGCGACGCTGCACTAAGGGGACTGTCTAAAGTAGCTTCATATGCTCACATGGTTTCCATCCTGACCCGCTTTCTAATTTTGGGGCAGGATCCTGTTGTTCACTGACAGACTCCCCCCCCCTCCCCCTGCTTTGGCTGCAGAAGTTCTCAGATTCAATCGCTGGCATCTTCAGTTGAAGGGTCTCGGGGGCAGGTGCTGGGGAAGACCTCCTGCCCAAGACCCTGGAGTCAGTGGACCAGGGGCCCCTTAACCTTTTTGAGCTTGCGGGCGCCTCTGGAATTCTGACACGGCATGGTGGGTGCAGCCACAAAACGGGGGCCACGCGGTGGCTGCCAGAGGAGACGAAGCTGGCCACAAAATGGCCGCCACGGCTTGCTTTCAGTCACAGAGTGAACATCCTTGTCCCGTGATGGCAGCTGCCGCCAAAGCAATGTTGTTAACCAATCTCCATGGTCTATGAAAGTCGCCAATGGCCAGTCAGCAGCCTTGATGGGCAAAAGACCCGCCCACTTTCTAAAAAACACTTGGCATGTGCCAGAAAAGGGCACCTTGTTGGGGACTCCTGGAGTAGACCATAGCTGATTGACCTGAGTGTCTGACTTGATATAAGGTAGCTTCCTAGGTATTTGGATCAGGAAGAGGGTCTGGAATAGATTGGGGGGAGGGGCTGGCAATCCATCCCTGTGGACCCTGCCGGAGCCACACCCTCCTGGGCACCTCACACTCATACCTTGTGTGGCTGCATTTTGGCCCACTCCTGCAGCCTCTGGAACACCCCCTCGTTGCACTCGATAATCCAGTGCTCCTCGATGTCGAACTCCTCGATTTTGCTGGCAGCGATGGCCATGCCGAAGCCCACCTCCAGGACACAGCCCCCTGGAGCACGCAAAGAGAGGAGAGCTGGTTGCCAACAGCTGACTTGCTAGACAGTGTGGCTACAGTGTGGGAATACTGCCTGCTCTTCCCAATTTGGGAAAGATTAGTCATTTGTACAGCAGGAAAAGAGTCCAGAGGAGGAGGATTTATACCCCGCTCTTCACTATCCAAAACGAATCTCAGAGTGGCTTACAATCTCCTTTCCTTTCCCCTCCCCACAGCAGACACCAAGAAGAGATTGGATTTATACCCCGCTCTTCACTATCCAAAAGGAATCTTGGAGCGGCTTACAAATTCCTTTCCCTTCCCCTCCCCACAACAGACACCCTGTGAGGTAGGTGGGGCTGGGAGAGCTCTCTCTCGAGAACTGCTCGTGAGAGAACAGCTCTGAGAGAACTTGTGACTGACCCAACGCCACACCGGCAGCTGCATGTGGAGGAGTGGGGAATCAAACCTGGTTCTCCCAGATGAGAGTCCGCGCTCCTAACCACTACACCACACTGGAAGAGGAAGTGACATGGTTGGAGTGTCTTCCCACAACAAAGAAAGATTAAATCATTTAGAGCTTTTTTTCTCTTTAGAAAAACAGCTAAGGTGACAGATAAGGCGGCTTATAAGATTAAGTAAAGAGAAATTAAATTCTTCTCTCTGTGTCATCCTGCTAGAAGAGGTGAGGGGACTTGCCCAGTGAAAATGACAGACAATAGAGTCAGGACAGATGAAGCACAATGCATATCTGAAGACTATCTGCGGAAGTGTGCACGGGCATATGAAAGCCCGTACCTTGAATAAAACTTTGTTGGTCTTAAAGGTGCCCACTGGGACTCAAAGTGTGTAATGTGTTAACGTAACTCACTGCCACAAAATGGGGTGATGGTCAGTGTTCCCTCTAAACTCCAGAGTTTTGTGAGCAAAAATTCTACTTTGTGAGCTCCTGGCATTAAAGTGGTGAGCGAGCAATTTGGCAGCTGCATAAATTAGTTTGCTCTGGAGCCCTCCTTCCTGAGCAAAGACAAAAAATGTGTGAGCCAGAGGCTAAAAATCTGTGAGCTAGCTCACACTAACTCAGCTTAGAGGGAACATTGGTGATGTCACTAATTGCTCAGATAGCTTTTAAAAAGAGGACACGCACAAAACTGGGGGGACATGTCAGGACTTGCAGGGGCATTTCATTGACTCCACCCCAATATTTCCTCTTTCCTTCCCTGTCAGCCCCCATGGTCTGTCCACTTTTCCTGTTTCTTCCTTCTCCCCTTCCCACCCACCCGCCAACCTGCCCTTTGTTCCTCTGTCTTCATCCTTCCTTCCTTCTCTCCTCCCATTTTTTAAAAAAAGATTTCTGATTTCTCTGCAAACCTGTGGCCTTTTTTTCAGGTTTATTGAAAGACCTGCCTTGTATATGGATGGCCCCAGTCTCTGGACTGAAATATCTACAGATTGGGCCATGTTGAGAATTAGACATATTAACACAGATGATTATAGCTGCATGGAAACAATCTGCACCCAAATCCCAGGGACAAATTGCCTTTGTCTGCTGCTCGTGAGCTCCCAGAGGTAACTGGCTGGCCATTGTGGTAAACAAGATCCTGCATTAGACGGAGTTTCTGGCCTTTCTCCCTCTTCTGCTCATATCCTAGGCCTCAGACTGCAGCTGTTGCAGGAGACCTTCCATCTGAATTGAGCCCACAAGTGGTAGATATTTCACTGCATGGCTATTCTTAGCCGCAGTGCAAGCAAGGAATGGGTCGGGGGCCTCCCTCCAAGCTCAGCTGATTAAAGCCTGTTTTGGACAGGAGAAGAGCAGCCGAATTGTGTGTGTGTGTGTTTCAGTCTCCCTAGAACAGGGGTGTCGAACTCATTTGTTATGAGCGCCAGATCTGACATAAATGAGACCTTGTTGGGCCAGGCCATGTGTGTCATATAATGCTAGGTAGTGAAGATATAAACTTTATAAAGGACTCAAACACAAAGGTTTTTTTTTAACTTAAAATAAAATAAAACCATGCTTAAAACACTAGCTCTGTAAACTGCAAACCTACTTTTGATTTATTGACATTCACCACAGAAATCTCATGCTCAGAGTTCTGAGTCTAGAACCCAGATTAAAACATAAAATGGCTGAGTGATTAAGAGAGTCTGGCGAAGCAAACTATGATGCAGCAGCAGCAGAAGAAGAACTGGAAGCAGGAGATGGCCAGTTCCACTGCGGGCCTGATGGAATCCCTCTGGGGGCCTGATCCGGCCCCCAGGCTGCATGTTCGACACCCCTGCCCTAGACGCTCCATTGCTTGACCTGAAATTTACCACAAAGGAACTTCAGAGAGACAATGCCGCATTAAAATTTATCCGGAGGTCTGATCGTATCAACAAGGTTAAACAGGAGGACTACACCTTTCTTAGCCATGATGGGTGTGAGATTGCTTATCAAAGTTATTGCTGATCACAACTGTGGTGCTGCTGCTTATCCTGGGTGCTTTTCCATTTTATTGATTGATTGATTAGATATATTTTTTTTGTCGCTGCTCACCCAAAGGGTTTCGTGGCGACTTACAACATTAAAACCAGCAAGGTAAAAAAAAAACCCAACAACATAAAAAACAAGTTAACAGATAAAGTATGAAAGTATGTGGCTATCATCATATCACTATTGAAACAGCACAAATGTGGTTATCCTCCAAAGGTCAACCTAAACAATTGAGCTTTGTATGCCCTGAAGAAACTAAACAAGTCCAGCAGGGCACGGGTGTCATCTGAGTGTGCATTCCACAGGGTAAGGGGCCACAACTGAGAAGACCCTTTCCTTGGTGACAGCTAACCAAGCCATCCTGGGGCCAGGCACCTGCAAGAGGCCCCTGGCACTGGAACATTGCTTTGCATGACTTTCCCCCCCCCCCCCAGTTCATCACTTTTGAGTTTGATTTCTCTCTGCTATGTACATATCCCGCCGACGGAGATTTCAGTTCATGCATCCAATGAAGTGGGAGCGCTAAGCCAACAAAAGCTTCTGCTTTAATAAATTGGGTTGTCTTTCAAGTAAGTGATGTGGCTACCCCAGTTCAGTCCTGTAACACTGGAAGGACCCCCCCCCAGCACTCGTTTAGATACCCAGTCCCCAGTAACCAATAGTGGTTCGAGCATTTACACAAGACAGAAGTGAGCAGTGACTCACAAATGTTGTCACAAATTTTGTTAGTCTTCAAGGACTCTTGCTCTTTTCTGCTGATACAGACAGACTAACAGGGCTACCCATCTTGATCTAAGACAGAACACAATTTATCTTTAAAAAAACTGCATCCTCCTTTTCTCAAGCAAGATTGAAACAGTGTGGAACCAGTGAAGAAATGAAAAAGGAGTCAACCGTGTTTTTTAAAACTGATCCATGAAACGCCCTCTTTCCTCAGCTGTTCGCCCCCGCCCCCCCGCAGATGTACAGAGCTGCGTGTCCATGGAACTCGGAACTCAAATGGGAAAGGTCTGTACACTCTTGCCTTGAAACAGGCCCCGATTCTGGGAGCACAGCTTCCGTGGTGGCTGCAGCCCTCAGAAGGCTAGTCGAAGGAACAAGGACTTTTCCCACAGGTCATTTTGCTGCAGCCAGGACTCCACACAAATTCTTTTGGGGGGGTGGGTTTTTTTTTTTTTTTGCACCGAGCATCCAGCACAATGAAGAGTTCTGCAGAACTGAAAAGCTTGCACTGTGCTTCGTTCATTCTCTCTCTTAACACCCATTTTCAGTGGTCCGCTTTCAGCCTGTCTGAGACACCTTTTTCGCTGCCCCACGCTTTCTGTGTGTGTTTTTGAATGCTCCGGCTGGGTTTTAATAATTCTTATGATGCTTTCCGTATTTTTTTTTAATGATGTTTCGTTCTTCATGCCCACCTCAGGCAGGTTCCCTTGAAGAGGCAGCATAGAACGTTTCCAAATAAAACTTTTAAAACAGGGTTTTTGCTTTTTTTAAAAGATATCGCACACGTTTTGTCTTTGGCTTTCTCTCTGCGGACGGACACGGCTCCTCTTACCTTTGGAGGCGGCCACAGTAGCGAGGGAGTGCATGTAGGGGGTTTCCCACCGCTCCATCACCGGCTTCCCCATGATCTCCAAGTGGGTATCTGTCTGGTTGTAGCCTGCAGATGCCTCTTTCCAGGACGGCTTGCAATTTTCTCCTTCCCGAAAGATGGGGCGCCCAGCCGTGGAGGAAGTCATGGCTAGTTCGGTGTGGCGAAGACAGAAGGCGCCTGAAGCGGGAGAGAGAGAGCGATCAGGGAAAGGGATGGCCTGGACTCTGAACCGACTTTAAATAGACAAGTTGGGAAAAGCTGAGTGTGCAGATGGGGTGGGTGGGTGGGTGGGAGCCGATGTTGAACGCAAAAAACTCTGAAAGACGTCTAGCTGGAAAGGGAGAACTGGGAGGACATCTGCCGGAAAGAGCTCACAGTGCAGACGTCTCTCTCTCTCTCCCTGGCAGGTCCTTCTAAATCCCTTGGTAGCAGAGTAGCCGAGCTGATGTTGAACGCAAAAAACTCTGAAAGACGTCTAGCTAGAAAGGGAGAACTGGGAGGACATCTGCCGGAAAGAGCTCACAGTGCAGACGTCTCTCTCTCTCTCTCTCTCTCTCCCTGACAGGTCCTTCTAAATCCCTTGGTAGCAGAGTAGCCCTGGGGGGACTCTTTGGAAGCTGATGAACTGATGCATGGTGCAGAGAAAGGAGATGGGATTTTTCTTTCCCCATCGTTCTAGAATAGGGTTAAAGTAAAGGTAAAGGTTCCCTTGCTTGAAAGCCAGTCAAATCCGACTCTAGGGTTGCGGTGCTCATCTCAGTTTCAAAGCCAGAGAGCCAGCGCTGTCCGAAGACCTTTCCGTGGTCATGTGGCCGGCATGACTTTTTTTTTTGTATATTTTTGGTACCTATTTATCTACTTGCAGTTTCTTGCTTTCGAACTGCTAGGTTGGCAGGAGCTGGAACTAGAGACGGGAGCTCACTCCGTCATGCGGCACACTTGGGTCTCGAGTTAGGGTGACTGTATTTTGAAAAGCAAAAGAAACAGCGGGCATATTTCCCGACTGACTACTTCAAACCAGTGATCATGATGACATACCCCGACTATTTTTAAATACCCCGACTATTTGAGCTGTGGTCTTTGCTGCTAACTAGGGATATTCCTAACCCTCCCGCCCCAAAAGAGGACATTTTCGTCAGTTGTTTTTTTTTAAAAAAAAAAGAGCCCAAAAGAGGACAGACACCAAAAAGAAGAAGAGAAGAGAAGATATTGTCAAAGGCTTTCACGGCCGGAGTTCATTAGTTGCTGAGGATGCCAGTCACAGATACTGGCGAAACGTCAGGTTCTACAATGCCAAGACCACGGCCACACATCCCGGAAAATCTACAGCAACTAAAGAAGAAGCTAAACGGAAGCTCCGTGTTCGAAGGCAGTCTACCTTGGAATGCCTATTTCTGCAGGGCAACTGGAGCGGGAGGCCGGGGCTCACTGGCAGAGCATCTGCTTGGCATGCAGAAGCTGGAGCTGGCAGCCTTGAGCCCCACCACCTATCGCCTGCCGGTTCCTAGATCTCTAATAGGCAGAAGAGGGAGGGATTTTGGGGAGTGCAGCCTGGCTTATGAAAGCCAAGGACTGCAGCGCGTGCTGCTGAAATATGAAGGCTTGTAAAATGCAGCATGACATGGAGACAACAGTGGTGTAGCGTTTAAAGCGTCGGGCCGGGAGCTGGGAAACGCAGGTTCGAATCCCGACTCATGCTGTGGAAGCTTGCAGGGTAACCTTGGGCCTGTCACACGCTCTCAGCCTAACCTCCTTCACAGGGTTGTTGTGAACACAGAAATTGGGTTCTCATTGAGGAGAAGGGGGGGATATAAATAAATGAGTAAATAAGCAGAGAGAATTTTTCTCTGCCTCACTGGCCATAGATTCAGGATGGCAAAAAGTAATGCAACACTACATGCTGTGTTATCAGTATGGACTTAAAGCCTTGGCATGTATCAAATACTTAATTCCAGAAGACAAGTTGCATATTAAGTCTCTAGCGGCAAAACCAAGGAGTGCTTACCGCAGTTAAATCGATTGTAAAATCCTCCTTCACACAATTATTTATTCAGCAATTATCTATGCTACAATAAAGTGTGTTAGTGGTACCACAAAACTCCTTTTTGTGTATAAAGGAGATAAATTAATTATTAAAAATACATCCATTTCTGCCACGCAGTTAGAATCCCTTGCAATATCTAATGTTAAAGAAATGCAAAGGGGGGGGGGGATGATACCTGTGGGGCCGCCTTTACCCACATGTCCCCCAGAGAGCACTGCGATCAGGGGCTAAACACTGA